TTGGATCAAGGATTTTAGCCCAATTTGCGTGATTGCTGCCTTTATAAGATTATTGCAGAAGTATTATCGATAAGGTGTAGGGAGAGTTTAAGTGCAACTATATGAGGATTTCAAAGGGTCTTTGTTAAGGGGAGACAAATTATGAATGTAGCTTTGGTAGCTAATAAGGTGGTTGTAGCTTTGGGGAGGACTGTTGGATTCGTCATTGCTTCAATGACTTAGGTTTTATTCTAATTCAATGTCATGGGATTTTGGTTTTCGTAGAAGTCTTAATGATAGAAATCCGTTGGAATTGACTTCACTATGTTCTTTGCTTGGTAACATATCTTTACATAACTAGTCGCTTGATAAAAAAAGTTGGGTAGTCGACACAACGGGTGGGTTATCTTGCAATTCCTATTTTGATTCCTTGATTGACAACATTACTCTCCTCATTTTTTATTTATCATTGAAGATTTGGAAGGTTAAGGTGCTTTTGAAAGTGCAAGTTCGTGCAAGGGAATGATCAACATCCATGATTTGCGTCAAGAAAAGAGACCTCAAACATGCCTATACCTACAATGGTGTGTAATGTGTAAGAATGATTGTGAGAATGTGAGCCTTTTAGTTTTGCATTGTCTGATTATGTTGGCTTTCTGGAATAAATTGTTCGAGATGGTGGGCCATTTTTGGGTGGCTCCTAGTTCTATAACAATGTTCTATGTTGATTTTAATGGCTTTGGAAGGAAAAGCAAAAGAGTTGATCTTTGGGAATGTGCAATTTTTTCCACTATTTGGGTGATTTGGTGTTGAGAAATGCGTGACTCGTTTAGGTTAAGTATGAGGTGGTTGAAGGGCTATGGAACCGAATTAGTAGTTTCTTGGGCATGAGTTTTGAAGGAGTGTGCAAACATTCTTCTCTTCGGAATTTGGACGAATTGGAATGTGGCTTGACTAATTAATCATAATATTTTCTGGTTTGCTCTTATGTACTGGATCTTGATGACTTACATTATGGATGGATGACTTGTTGATCGTCGATCTCAATTTGTACTACATCCTTTATATGTTCAATAAAATTTGTTTTCCTATCCACAAAAACAAAAGGAACAAAAAAGAAAAAGCAAAAGAAAGCAGGAGAGAAAAGGGGGGGGGGGGAAGCTTATGAGAGTTGGGAATTAAGATTCAAGTCAGTCGATTGATGCAATCATTGCTTTGAATTTTACTTAATAGTCATGATAAAGATTTTTTTTTAAAACAATCAGTGTACCCCTATGCATGGGCATTTACTGGATCTTGATGACTTACATTATGGATGGATGACTTGTTGATCGTCGATCTCAATTTGTACTACATCCTTTATATGTTCAATAAAATTTGTTTTCCTATCCACAAAAACAAAAGGAACAAAAAAGAAAAAGCAAAAGAAAGCAGGAGAGAAAAGGGGGGGGGGGAAGCTTATGAGAGTTGGGAATTAAGATTCAAGTCAGTCGATTGATGCAATCATTGCTTAGAATTTTACTTAATAGTCATGATAAAGATTTTTTTTTAAAACAATCAGTGTACCCCTATGCATGGGCATTTATGGATTTTTTAAATCTAAAATAAGTGTTATAAACTGGCAAATCAAGATCGTGATGTCATGGACGACGAATCTCCTTTGAAAAGCATTTAGTGGCTATTTGGAGGCCTAAAAGTTAGGATGCTACAGGTATCTTTTTCCTTGAAGACCACTTATCAAATTAATTTAGACGGGTTTTTGGCGTGGTTCTACATTCTGGACTCTTTGGAACCTTCCTTAGTGGGAATTATGTTCTCATCTTGCACCGTGACACACTTAAGATATTAAAAGATGATGGTATCCACACGTTTGATAGTGGTTTTTTCTGATTAGTGCATCATTTCTGAGGTATAATGTGAAGAGTTGTCCTTTTTTTGTGCATGACTTTTCATACTCTCTTTGCTTGGAGAGTTTGTACAAGAATCAAGCTCCTGTATTCCAAATAACTATGGGAGTTATTGGCATTAGATGGATTTTTAGAAAACATATCATTTGACCTTATTGGGTCTCCAGGAGCAAAGAAACCATGATGCCTGAAATGCTAAAAGTGCATGGCATGTGCAACTGTTCCTTTCATCTGTATATGTTACACCTATGTCCCCCCCAACCCCCAACCTTCTTATGCCATGTTCTATCATAGATTGAATAAGTGTGTTACATTTGTGAGGCAATATACAAGATTTTGGTGGCAGTTAATACTTTAATTACTGCAAACGGTTCGTGATATTATGTTTGTAGGTTTGTAGACTGATTTGAGAAATTGGAGTTTAGGGATATGTATAGGCAAGAAAATTTATGCTTTAGGCTCATTCTGTGGTTGTGAACCAAACCCGTGAATTGTAATGAGAGCTGGAATGTTTTCTTAGAGGTGCTATGTTAGTAGGTTCAAGTAAGAAGTGATTTGCCTTTTCTAATAGATCTAATAAAACAATGAGAGCTTTGGTAATATGTTGCAAAGGCCAGTAAAGAGTGGAAAACTAAAGAAGCAAGTACTGGAAGATGGTACTAATTACTTGAGCGTTCATTGGGCAATGGTATTCAGGGTTCAATTTGCTTCACACATTCTTATATTATTGAAAAACCTCTAAAACCCATTATTTTTTGAAATAAAAAATTCATATCGTTTCTTATAGGCTACTATTTTTTTTGTTACACAGCAAAATTTTATCCAAACAGGGTAATGACAAAATAAAATGTAAGAATACAATGGAGGACAAGACATACTACCAAATACCCTTCTTATATCAAAATAAAGAACATACATCAAAACTCTCCAACCATTACAATTCTACAATCCACACAACAATCTCCAATACAAAGTTATACAAAAGGGTGAATATCCTCGAACTCCTTGGTCTTATCTTACTATGATGCCAAAAAATTGAACTCTATCCCATAAACATTCTCCCAGCCTTTTCCTAAGTGCAAATTCATATCCCTTTTCTTAATAGGTACTGAGCATAGGTCCATTTTTGCCAAATTCTTTATGTTGTTTCCAATTTGCCTTGGCCATCAAAAAGTCCTCCATTTTTATTTTCCAAGTCATCCTGATGATCGTTTTCCCTCGCACCAATTAACTTGCATGCTACCATCTTCAATATCCCTCTTTCATTGATTCAGAAACTTCCTATTAAGCAAATCCACTCCGGATATTTCAATCTCAAAGAACAAACTAAGGTCATAGTCATCACTACGTTGAACATCTTTGATATTTGAAACTGGTGCATTCCCCTTGCTCGAAAATCCATGTGCACAACCCTGTACACCCACTCACACATGTCTCCCATATATGTCTCTGGTGTATGACAAAGATTTTCAACTATCATTGGCAATGACTTGTGCGTTGACATGCATGTTGATTCAACTAAAAAAGTGACTCTCATCGAGCACATTGAGACTGTTCGAAAAAAAAAAATCAATTTTTTTTGGGTTTATTCTGCCTTTACTAAAGATCAAGTAGTACACTTGGCAGATTTGACTATGTTTTTTTTTTCATCTTATTTTGATGTTTCATCCTTCCTATACCCCCCCCTCCCTAAAAAAAAAAAAAAAAAACCTATCCTCCTTTGCTAGGACAATCCTTTCTGATTCAATCCTCATATTAACCAATCAATTGCCCAAGTAATGGTTCGAAACTTCATAATCTTTTCTCTCCGTTGCAGTTTGAATCGTCTATAGAATTGTCACATTCTTTTTGATTCTCTTGTCAATTCTCTTTGATTTCGTGCCCATCTGAATTACCAGCATCATTAAGTACCTTCTCTTCCCCCTCCACCGCTCTTTAGAATCTGAATATTATTTGCGATAGGTCTCTGGATATAAAACACATTTGATGGCTTTAAAACATAAAAACAGCCGATGGGCTTTTCCTTGCATTTGCATCACATTTAAAAGATCCACTTCCTATGAAACATGGATACTTTGTTAAGGTCGACGTATTCGTATTGGATACGATACTCGTCGAATATTCGAGATACATATTGTATACGTCTCTTACGTATTTGATAATAATAAAATATGTGAATACTTTACGGATACTTTTGTATCGGTGCAATATAAATAATTTTTAAATCTAATCTTTATCATCTCCTTTCTAATTCAAATATAATGCAATATATCAAGTCATCAATAAAAATTCATATGACTTTGAATACGCTTGAGTATTTTTTAAGTAGTATCTACTATTAAATATCAAAAGAGCATAATAGGAATTTATTGTACTATAATCTTAGCAACAAATAGTTTTAAGCAAACCAACCAAATAAATATGGGGTATTTTCGTTAATTACTCATCTTCAACTTCGGAATATACTATAATGAGACAATATATATTTTTCTGAAAGTAATTGAAATTGCTAATTTTACTTGTAATATTGTTACAGAATTATCAAATAATTATTTAGTAAATAATAGGAAAAATATAAAATATATTTATATTCTAAATGTATCTTAGCCGTACCCGTATTATAATTTTTTAGATTTTGTCTTACCGCCGTATCCATATTGTAGTGTGCCTGTATCTCGTATTCATATCCGTGCTTCATGGCCCACTTCTTTTTAAGATGAAAAGCTCAGCATCCTTCTGGTATTCGGTATCAGACAAGGCCTTGTGGTTATTTTGAAGCTGTAATGTAGGCCAACTTGAGTACATGTACACCAATTATGTGTTTGCTCATTTCTGAAACTTTGCTATGCTGGAGCTGGTCTGAAAAGTAAAGAGTGCTGCATTGGAGATGCTTACTGGAAGTAAAGGCTGGTAGCTTAAATTCTTCCATGAGCTTTGTTAATATGCCTCACATTATATGTCACAAATCAAATTGGATTTCCCATTCACATAAATGCAAGGTTCTTGTTGAGATGGGTGTCAAGTTATGAAATAGTAATGAATTTGATTATAAGTACTTTTGTTTCTCTATTTGCAGCTTGTATATCTAGAAGCATGTCCTTTAATATTTGTGTGATGTTATCCAGAATGCAATCACAAGCTGTGGAACTCAATGGAAAGATAGAAATTGTGAATCGTGAAAGGAAGTACCACCAGGTGATCCTAATAGCTATATCAAAATTGCATTTTGTTTTACTTGTGCACCTGCAATTTGGAGGATGTCAATATACTTCCTTTGTAATTGAGCAGCAAAATGCTGCATATGAGCTTAATGCATTATCTGGACAATGGAGTGAGCTTTGTGCAAAAAACATAGAGATTGAAGCTGCATGTGCTACAATTGCAAATTATATTGAGGAACTGAATAAAGAAGCTACAGAAAGGTATTTACTTTTTCCTGCCTAGTTTGTTTACTTTTATTCACATTTTACCAGTTTTGGTGTACTTATTTTATCTTGTTTAGAGGCTGGAATCTGGATGTTAATATGGAGAATGGCTCCTTGCTGCATTCAGAACATTAAGGTATGGCTCTTCAGTGGATTGGTAGATTGTGTGCGTGCGTGAGAGGGGAGAGGAAAAAAGATATGGGGCATCTGTACATCCCAAATGCCTGATTCAAACCTGGTCTCATTTTTCATAAAATCATAAAGGCATAACATGTTGAATTCCACCATGTTTATTGAAAGAATCAAAGGATAATTTTTTTAGTTAAACTAATCTCAATGTAATCTACAAGTGATTTTCTAGTAGCATATTCTCTGAAGTTGGGAGCAAAATAAATTTCAAATTTACGCAAAAAAAAAAATGTATTTACCTCAAAAATTGTGTCAGGTTAAAGGTAGGGAGGGTTAATTGTGTCAGGTTAAAGGTAGAGAGGGGTGTTAATTGTGTTAGATTAAACGGGTGACGAGTGAAAAATGTATAAATTCATATATGACATGTTTAACAAACAGGTAAAAAATTTCAACACAAATACTACTTGTTTAATAAACGGGTAACACGATACGATTTGTTTAACCTGTTTAATTTTAAAAAAATTATATCAACAAATTTTGATACTTTATTTTTTTACTATTAATTGTATTTACCTCAAAAAAGGAGAATTTTAAATCAAATCTCATAAATAAAAATAAGACTTGAAAGCTTTGAAAAAAAAAAAACAAAAGGCTATTGCCTTTTATAGGCAACTCACCCTCCCCATCTCCCCTCATTTTCTAATGTGGGACAAAAATAAAAGACATTGGTTTACCTTTATTTTTTAAGTGCTCTACAACTCCTCTACTTTGTCTTTGAAAAATAAGACTTGAAGGCTTTAAAAATAAAAGTAAGAGGTCATTGTCTTTTATAGGCAATTCAACCATTTCCATCTCCCCTCATTTTTCAATGTGGGACAAAAACAAAAGAAATTTGTTTGCCTTTGCCTTTAAAGTGCTCTCCAACTCTTCTCCTTTATTTTTGAACTACTATTTTACTAATTTTTTTTTTATTGATTTCTTTACTTTTTTCTTGCTAATTTTTTAAAATAATTATTAATTTATTATTATATTAATTTTATTTAAACGGGTAAACGTGTGATAAACGGTTTGACAGGTTTCACCCAAACACGACCCGTTTATTAAACGTGTTTGACATATCAACCCGTTTATCACCCAAACCCGTTACGATCTCATCCAAACCCGTTTAATTCGTGTCGGTTAATCGTGTCGTGTCGAATTTTGACAGCCTTAAATACAAGTGGTAGCAAAGAAATGAAGTGTAAAATTTTGGTGATATAATTTTTTTGTATTATGTTTGAATTAGTTGATGCATACGCATTGCACGTGAACCATTGTAAGTATAAAATATTATATATAAAGTTGTGAATCACTTTCTTAAAAATTTACAATTTTAATAAACATTGATAATTAATCAATTTGAAACTACCATGCTATACTCAAAAAAATGCCAACCAAAGCAAGGAAAACACATTAGAGACACTGGAATATGATACACTTGATTTGTACCACACTACCAAATAGGCACATGATGATTTCAAGAGGGGAGCATATGCAATCTTTTTTTGCTTTTCTCATATCGAACTCTTTTGACAATACCCCTTTCGCCAAGCTAGATGCTACTGTTTCTTGCTCACGTTTTACACTTAACAACAAACTAAGAAATGTAAGTAAATGAAAATTTGAAGTAAATCGCCAATATCCAACTAGTCAACTTTGAATTAGGTAGTTTTCAGTAGCTAATAGATCTGACACTTGGTCGAACCAAATTTGTCTTACAATTGTCTCAATTACATTCAAAATAGTAATACCTAAACATATAAGACTTACGCTTGCTTGGTCTAAAATTTAGCTTACACTTGAGTTAACAAGTTCAAATATGTAGATATATATATTACACCATCTCTAACTACTTAAAGTTTTAGAATAGTTAGTAGGTTAACATATGACCAATATATTAAAATTAGAATCAATATGCCTTTTTTATTTTTTTTCTAGTTATTCTTCAATTTTAAGTTCTCTCAGAGGAAGAATTTTCTAATAAACTATTTTTATCATAACAGAATATTGGGAGAGAGAGAGAGAGAACTTAGAATAAAAAGAGTCATGGCTCCTTGGGTGTCAATCGTGTCGGGTTAAACGGTTACGTGTCGGGTTAAATGGGTGACGGGTGAAAAATGTATAAACCTATACACGACACGTTTAATAAATAGGTAAAAAATCTCAACACGAATACGACCCATTTAATAAACGTGTAACATGACACGACTCATTTAATTTTAAAAAAATTATATCAACAAATTTTAATATTCCATTTTTTTTACCACTAATTGCACTTACCTCAAAAAAGAGGAATTTTAAATCAAATCTCATAAAAATAAGACTTCGAAGGCTTTAAAAAAAAAAAAAAAAAGAGGCTATTGCCTTTTATAGGCAACTCACCCTCCCCATCTCCCTTCATTTTTCAATGTGGGACAAAAATAAAAGACATTGATTTGCCTTTGTCTGTCAAGTGCTCTATAACTCCTTTATTTTGTCTTTGAAAAATAAGACTTAAAAGCTTTTAAAAATAAAAGTAAGAGGTCATTGTCTTTTATAGGCAATTCAATCCTTCCCATTTCCTCTCATTTTCCAATGTGGGACAAAAACAAAAGACATTTGTTTGCCTTTGCCTTTGAAGTGCTCTCCAACTCTTTTCCTTTGTCTTTGAACTAATCTTTTACTTTTTTTTTTTATTAATTTCTTTACTTACTAATTTTTTAAAATAATTATTAATTTATTATTATATATTAATTTTATTTAAACGGGTAAACGTGTGATAAACGGTTTGACAGGTCTCACTCGAACACAATCCGTTTATTAAACGTGTTTGACTTGTCAACCCGTTAAGATCTCACCTAAATTCGTTTAATTCNTTGCCTTTGAAGTGCTCTCCAACTCTTTTCCTTTGTCTTTGAACTAATCTTTTACTTTTTTTTTTTATTAATTTCTTTACTTACTAATTTTTTAAAATAATTATTAATTTATTATTATATATTAATTTTATTTAAACGGGTAAACGTGTGATAAACGGTTTGACAGGTCTCACTCGAACACAATCCGTTTATTAAACGTGTTTGACTTGTCAACCCGTTAAGATCTCACCCAAATCCGTTTAATCCGTGTCGGTTAATCGTGTCGTGTCGAATTTTGACAGTCCTACTCCTTGCCCATTACTTAGCACCGTTTTTGCCTGCCATTTTTGTAGTAGATTGACACTTGACATTGACAAAATAAAGCCATGAATTGAAGAACACAAAAATAATATAAAGGGCCTATTGATATGGTGCCGATTAGCCTGGAAAGCCTCCGTCTTCAATTTGACTGAACTTTGACGGCATGGAAACATAGGATAACACTTCATTTGAATCCCCTTCATGCTTTTCTTCCTATATTAATGATGGGACATTTGCAGACACTCCCAGATGATGACACGTGTACTCGGCGNTTGATATGGTGCCGATTAGCCTGGAAAGCCTCCGTCTTCAATTTGACTGAACTTTGACGGCATGGAAACATAGGATAACACTTCATTTGAATCCCCTTCATGCTTTTCTTACTATATTAATGATGGGATATTTGCAGACACTCCCAGATGATGACACGTGTACTCGGTGTCAATGGAGACTCTCCCTGTGATACCGACACGTTTTCGTCGATTTTCAATCCCCTGCCCCGAGGATGCTATCACAGGGATCAAGGATCCCCAACCCACCATGGACCGACACGTATTTCTCGGCAGTTTGGGTACATCAGTCCTAAATCAGGCTAGTCCCTCGGCACCGAGGGGTTCTATTCGCGTGGGCGTTTCTGCTCCTGCAGGGGCTATTGATGGACAGATCACTAGCCTAGGCAAGGCTAGACTAGCCATCATGACCTCGTCTTACTCAAATGGTGTCAGGAGGCACAAGAAAGCAGAATGCTCAACCAAAGGGGAATGAGCACGTGGCGTATTGTGTCAGATTAGAGACAAAAAGACCAGAATGCCCTTGCTGACATACGACTTGGGAAAACAAGTATTTAATGCATCATTCCCTTGATGAGACAATATTTAATGCATAAGGGCTTGGAAGTGAAAGGTAATAAATGTCCTAAAGCCTGGACATTTAATACACCCCTGCAGAGGAAAGATCATTAAACGTTCGACAGATCGAGTAGAAAACATTAGTTGCTCGGGGTCCCGAGCAGTAAAGAATAAGAACATTACTCATGGAAATTGGTGTGCACACTGTCCACCTCCAATGATTACCTACTAGCTACGCTGACAGCAATGATGAGTTTTTAAGGTATAAATAGTCCTCACAAACACAGAAAAGAGATACGCAACAAACCCTCTCTCAACCATCATACAGTATTTTCTTCTTCTCCTTTCTCAAAGAACTGACTTGATTGTTAGAAGGGATACGCCGAAAAACACTCCGGCGCCCTTTTAACTTGTTTTTCTTTGTTCCAATAACCCCCTTTAGCCTTCCAACATCACTCAGGCGACTCATAAAAATGATTCATTATCCACCTGGGGCCACCTTCGACCCTCACAACTTGTTCAAGTAGCAAGATTGACCGCCCGNAACCATCATACAGTATTTTCTTCTTCTCCTTTCTCAAAGAACTGACTTGATTGTTAGAAGGGATACGCCGAAAAACACTCCGGCGCCCTTTTAACTTGTTTTTCTTTGTTCCAATAACCCCCTTTAGCCTTCCAACATCACTCAGGCGACTCATAAAAATGATTCATTATCCACCTGGGGTCACCTTCGACCCTCACAACTTGTTCAAGTAGCAAGATCGACCGCCTGTTTGACGGACACGTGTTCACCACGGAAGAGATCTGTTCTAGTGTTTATATTGTGCAGGATCTTGCACGCACAATCTGGCGCCGTCTGTGGGAAACGACTAATTTTCCTAGTTTCTTCTCTAGAAAGAATAGTGACCATGGTGAATACTCGACAAAAAGGAAAAGGTCCCCAGTAAAGAAGTCTCGTGTTACATGCTCCTCGTCATGGTGGGGGGAAGGATCACACTGATGAAAACAGGAACCTTTCTATTCAGTCAAGGGGGCATACTCCTTAGACCAGTATGGGCATTAGGTCAGGAGGATCTGCCCCCTTGGTTCGTCAACTGGCGGAGGTGATTGAAGAAAAGTTTGGAAATCGACTACGACAGTTAGAAAAAGATAATGTGACTGTCCTAAGTCGGCTCAACGAATTTGTCGCCTCCGGCGAAGGATCGAGGAACTCATTCCGTTCCCGCGGACGCCCCCGTCTGGGAAGTGAAAATCGAGGACCTGAGGAATCATCTAAATAACAAAGCTGAGAGCTCCAGAATCCCAAAGTGCCCGAGAGCCAATGAGCACCCCCTCGACGGTCATTCCAGAAAGGCAAAGCCTTTGGTCTGGGACGACCTCCGGCGATGACTATCAAGGCGGGGGAAGGGAGATGAGTCCGAGGAGGATTCAACCCTTTTCATGTGACGCTCGAAGAAGGGGAGTCCCGTCAATGACCTTGAAAACCTCAGAAGACATCCCTCTGAGGGGAAGACTGATCTTAGAACCCGGCTGGAATCCAGGAGAAGGGGCAAGGCTTTCCAGGATGACGCTGAAGACGAGGCCATGCAATCACTTTTTTACCAGGGATATCTGAGAGATGGAGGTACCAAAGAATTTCATCGTGCCAAGGTTTAAAACTTATGATGGGTGATTCGATCCCGAAACTCACCTCAGGCAATACAAACAAATGATGTCCCTGTATCATTCGGACCAACGACTCCTCTACCGTGTGTTCTCCATGAGTTTGGGAGATTCTACGATGAAATGGTTCGAGACTCTTCCTCCCAACAACATTGGGTCATGGAAGGAGTTAGCAAGGCAGTTTCTAGCCCGATTCATTATGGGGAGCAAGCGGCCCAAAGACATTGGGTCATTACTGACGCTCAGGAGAAGGGAACAAGAATTCCTTCACCAGTACGCCACCCGGTACTGGAGGAAGTCAATGAGATAAGGGGGTGTTCGAAAGTCATGGCAGCCGCATCCTTTAGGCTCGGCCTGGCAAGGGACACAGACCTGTACCGATCCCTGACTAAGAAGACTCCCGTAGATATGGGCGAATTGATGGCTCGGATAAACAAATACTCCAAGATTGAAGATGAAATGGGGAGCAGAAAAGGTAGAACTTTCCTACCTAGGAGAAAAAAGAAAGAAGCGGGGGACACCTCCCGAAAGGGGCTGGTACCCCCTCCAGGGGGTCATTTAAAGGTGTTCACATTGCTTCAAAGAACCCATCTACAAGTTACTCCATAAAATCAAGCATGAGCCATTCTTCAAGTGGCCGCCTAGGATGTAGAATGATCCTTCCACCTGTGATTAAAAGGTCAAATGTTCCTATCATCGGGATTTCAGCCATCGCACTGAAAATTGCAGGGTATACAAGTCTTTCTTGGAAGGGCTAGTCTAGGACGGTCACTTAAAAGAACACATCGAACCCAAGTCAGAAGAGAGACGCGGTCCTGTCCCGGACGTGGAGCGAGACAATGTCATAGATGTGATCCATGTATGTCCACTGGATCGGCCGACATCTAAGGAGCTTGAGTCCGACCTCAAGAGGGTAGCCTTTACAAGAAAGGTTTCCGAGAGCGATGGGGGCCTGCCTAGCAAGAGGGCCAGGATCGGCGAGTCGGGTATCACCTTCTCCAACGCGGACTGGGCAAGCGTGGTGCCTCCCTANGGGGCCTGCCTAGCAAGAGGGCCAGGATCGGCGAGTCGGGTATCACCTTCTCCAACGCGGACTTGGCAAGCGTGGTGCCTCCCTATAACGACGCCCTAATCATAACTCTAAAGATAGGCAAGTTCGACGTCAAGAGGGTGTTGGTGGAATCCGGGAGTTCCTCGGAAGTGATGTATTCGGAGACTTTAAAACGGATGGGCTTTAGCCTCAAGACCTCACTAAGGTCAAGACGCCCCTCGTCGGATTTAACGGCTTATTTGCCTTGCCCATAGGCAAAATTACATTACCTGTCATCACGGGTCCCTTCACCATCAATACTGAGTTTGTCGTGATTGATATGAACTCTCCCTACAATGTGATCATGGGGCGAACTTGGTTGTATGCGCTGGGAGCGGTGCACTCCACTTATCATCAGAAATTGAAATTTGCTACACCAGAAGGGATAATGGAGATCCGAGGGGATCAAGCATCCGCGAAAAATTATTTTTACTCGGCTGTGAGAATGGGGGTTTCCACCCAAGAGAAGGGACGCGCCCCGGAAGAGATCCTGAAAAAATAGCAATCACAGTCCGAGCGTCCTGGAGTGGATGACCCCCGGACTGATCTGACGGACCGATCGGTAGAAGACCTTCGAAAGGTGTTCTTAGTGGATGGTGAAGAGAAGAGATACTTCCTGATTGGAACCGCAATGCCTACAGCTGAACAGGAACAGATGATCGACTTTTTGAAGCAAAATACAGACGTGTTCGCTTGGAACGCAATGGAAATGAAGGGGGTGGATCCCGAAGTAATCATGCATAAGCTACATGTTGACCCGACACACAAGCCAATAAAGCAGAAGCCACGGTGCATGGCGCCGCACCCACGCCTGGGTGATGAACGAGGAAATTGATAAACTCCTAGAGGCCGATACCATCCGGGAGGTGCAGTTCTCGAAGTGATCATCTAACACAGTCTGTGCGAAGAAAAAAGGAAAAAAATGGCGCGTCTGCGTAGACTTCACTGATCTGAACAAAGCGTGTCCCAAGGACGACTACCCCCTCCTAAAGGTGGACCAGTTGGTGGATGCCATTATCGGGTACCAGCGTACGGACTTCTTGGATGCCAGAGCAGGATATCATTAAATTCCTCTCTATCCCCCGGATCAAGAAAATACAGCGTTTATCACTCCGAGGGGGGTTTACTGCTACAAAGTCATGCCATTTGGGCTGAAGAACGCCGGAGCTACGTATCAGAGGCTGATGAATCGGATGTTCAAAAGACAGATCGGCAACACCATGGAAGTCTACATCGATGATATGTTGGTTAAAAGTAGAAGAAGTTGTGACCATTTGGTGAATTTGGCCGATAACTTCTCCACCTTTAGGGAGTATGGATTGAAGCTAAACGCCGCAAAGTGTGTTTTCGGAGTGGAGTCAAGTAAATTTCTCGGATATCTGGTGAGTCGGCGAGGAGTCGAAGCTAACCCAGATCAGATTCAAGCGATCCTGGATGTCCGGAGCCCCCGAACGGTCCGAGAAGTCCAGAAGCTCACGGGATGTTGGCAGCACTCAACTATTTTATCTCGCGCTCCTCGGACAAATACAAACCCTTCCTTGTGGCCATCAAGGGGGCCGAGAAAGATACGTGGAGCGCTACTGGATGCGAAAACAAGATACCTACCCTTGGAGAAACTCGCTCTATCCCTAGTCACAACTGCAAGAAAATTGAGGCATTATTTCCAAGCACATCCGATTATTGTCCTTACCGATCAGACCTTAAAGGGCATTTTCAGAAAGGCAGATCTCTCTGGAAGGATTTTCAAATGGGCAGTGGAGTTGGGAGAACATGACATCCACTTCAAACCTCGAACTGCTATAAAGGGGCAGGTATTGACAGATTTCATAGCAGAGTTTATCAGGGGACCTCCTGTCCTGGAAGGGCCACCCTCTCCTAACATAACGTCCTCGAAGAATGATAAGATACCGTCACGACTTCTATGCGTAGACGGTTCCTCCAACAGTAAAGGGTCCGGAATCGATATCTTGTTAGTTTCCCCGGATGGAGTTGTCGTCGAGCAGGCCGTTCGGCTGGGATTCAAAGCATCCAATAACGAAGCCGAGTATGAGGCTCTCATCTCAGGGCTTCGGTTAGCCGAGGCGACAGGAGTTACGGACTTGGTCTTCCACTGTGATTCCATGCTGGTAGTCAACCAGTTTAACGGAGAGTTTGAGACAAGGAATCCTAGGATGAAGACCTATCATCACGAGGTGACAACTGTGATCCGAAAGTTCGGAAAGATCGATATCAAACAAGTATCCCGAGATAAGAATGTGCATGCTAACGCCCTGGCTTGCCTAGCCTCAGCACTAGATCTCTCTCTGCCACGCAGGATCACTATAGAGTATCTTCCCACTTCCAGTATAGATAAAGCTCCTGAGGCGATGGCTGTCAAGGAAGAACATAGGCAGCCTAGTTGGACAGATCATTTTCTCAGGTTCTTGGTAACAGGGGATCTCCCCAAGTGTTCGAAAGAAGCCAGGAAGATAAAGCTCAAAGCCTCGAGATTTTGGATCTCCCCGGATTAGAAGCTGTACCGAAGGTCGTTCTCAGGGTCTTACCTACTATGCGTCCAGAAGGATAAGGTGGAAGACCTTTTCTACGAAGTACACAAAGGAATATGTGGGGGGCACTCTAGAGGGCGATCCATGGCTCACCGCATCATGTCTCAGGGATATTGGTGGCCACGGATGCAGAGGGATGTGCAAGCACATGTCCAAATATGCGACCAATGTCAGAGATTCGTCCCGGCAATCAAACAGCCTGCAGGGGACTTGGTTGGACCCCTGTCTAAGGCTCCTAGGAATAAGAGGTTCTTGATTGTAGCAACAGATTACTTCACCAAGTGGGTTGAGGCAGAGCCATTGACTCACATCCGCGACATAGATGTTAAGAAGTTTGTTTGGAGAAACATAGTCATCAGATTTGGGATTCCCCGAGCGCTTGTATCTGATAATGGGACTCAATTCACTGGCGGACGCTTCAAATCCTTTTGCGAGCAACTCAGAATCCGTAATTTCTATTCTACCCCCTGCATACCCCCAAGCCAATGGGTAGGCAGAATCTTCCAACAAAACGATCGTCAATGGTATCAAGAAGAGATTGAAAAAAGTCAAGGGAAGATGAGCGGATGAACTGTTGAACATTCTGTGGGCATACAGGACCATCCCTCGGACCTCGACAAGGGAGACCCCCTACTCCCTGGCTTACGGGATGGAGGCAGTCATACCTCTAAAAGTGGGACTCCCCACCATAAGGACTTAAGCCTTCGACACAGGTGGCAATAACCAACAACTTGACCTGAATNGGGATGAGAATTACCACCTCAGGTGGGTCTTCCAAAACTTGCATCGGCATTAGGGCCGCACCCTCAGCAGCAACCTCGGCCTCGGCCTGCGCCATCTCCGTCGATGGCTCGNCTGGCAGAGGAAAGAAGGGAAATGACTGCCTTAAGAATGGCCAAATATCAGGAAAGAATTTTCAGACTTCACAACAAAAGAGTAAAGACCGGAGAATTTCAAATCGGCGATCTGGTCCTCAGAAAGGTGACGGCCAATACTCGAGACCCAGCAGAAGGGAAGATGAGACCTAACTGGAAAGGACCTTACAAAGTGGTGTCAGTAGGGGGCTCCGGATCATATAGATTAGAAGATATGAGAGGAAAACCTGTAATACGGCTTTGGAATGTGATAAATCTGAAGAAGTACTATTTTTGAGTATTATCTCTCTTAGCACTGATTAATGACAGTATCATCAATGTCAGTATCACAAGGGCAAAGCCTTAGGAGGGCAAAGCCATCAAGGCAGTCCAAGGAACAAACCCCTGGGGTGGACACTACCCCAAGGGGGCATACGACACAGAAATGATGAAGCTGAATCAATCGGACAGATCAGCCAAATTGCTCCCCTGGTATCCGAGTTGTGGAGATATTTCGTTACCACTAGTTACTACAACATCAGTGTAAAAAAGATGATGAAATACATATAATGAAATGGTTTCAGTAGACAATGCAAGTACTCAAAAAATAAAAAATAGGCCATTCATTTCAAAAAAAAGGGCTTTGCGTCCCCGAGGGCTACAACGTTTAGACTAAAAAGTACAGTTCGAAAAAGAAAAAAGAAGTTTCATCTGGCCCCGGACATCTCCAACACGTCACTGCAAGGAGAATCAATGCAGAAGGGGTGAGCAGCTTCGGGGGCAGGCAGAGCTGAGGCAGAATCAGCAGCAGTGAGGGTCTGAGGAATGTTGGAATTGGGGACAGAAGTGGCTGACTCTGGCAGGGCCTTATCGGATGGGACAAGGATTACCACCTCAAGTGGGTCTGCCAAAACTTGCATCGGCATTAGGGCCGCACCCTCAGCAGCAACCTCGGCCTCGGCTTGCGCCATCTCCGTCGATGGCTTGNTGGTGTCAGTAGGGGGCTCCGGATCATATAGATTAGAAGATATGAGAGGAAAACCTGTAATACGGCTTTGGAATGTGATAAATCTGAAGAAGTACTATTTTTGAGTATTATCTCTCTTAGCACTGATTAATGACAGTATCATCAATGTCAGTATCACAAGGGCAAAGCCTTAGGAGGGCAAAGCCATCAAGGCAGTCCAAGGAACAAACCCCTGGGGTGGACACTACCCCAAGGGGGCATACGACACAGAAATGATGAAGCTGAATCAATCGGACAGATCAGCCAAATTGCTCCCCTGGTATCCGAGTTGTGGAGATATTTCGTTACCACTAGTTACTACAGCATCAGTGTAAAAAAGATGATGAAATACATATAATGAAATGGTTTCAGTAGACAATGCAAGTACTCAAAAAATAAAAAATAGGCCATTCATTTCAAAAAAAAGGGCTTTGCGTCCCCGAGGGCTACAACGTTTAGACTAAAAAGTACAGTTCGAAAAAGAAAAAAGAAGTTTCATCTGGCCCCGGACATCTCCAACACGTCACTGCAAGGAGAATCAATGCAGAAGGGGTGAGCAGCTTCGGGGGCAGGCAGAGCTGAGGCAGAATCAGCAGCAGTGAGGGTCTGAGGAATGTTGGAATTGGGGACAGAAGTGGCTGACTCTGGCAGGGCCTTATCGGATGGGACAAGGATTACCACCTCAAGTGGGTCTGCCAAAACTTGCATCGGCATTAGGGCCGCACCCTCAGCAGCAACCTCGGCCTCGGCCTGCGCCATCTCCGTCGATGGCTCGTAATTGTGCATCTAGAAGAGTGGAGAGTCTGGAAGGACGCCGACGGCTCGAAGCGCCTCATCCCACCCTTTTTTGAAGAACTCTTTGCTGCTCTCCTCGAGAGTGGACAGTATGTCATCGGCAAACTCCTCTCGAATTTGCTCTTCAGTCTTCCTATTCTCCGCTTTCGCCCTAACTTTATCCAGCTCCTAGGTTAGAGCCAGACAACTCTCCTCTGACCCGATAGCCCTATCCTCGGCTGCAAAGAGCCGTTGCGTTTGCTGTGTGATCCTCCTCTCAACGTTGGCCAAGGTAGCACTTAGCTTTTCAGCGCCGACCTTTGCCAATTCGCCTTCCCTAAGGAGTTGCTCAATCTGAGTAGCCTGCCTCGCGAGGGTGGAGTCCCTAGCGACCACATCCTCCTTAGCACTGGCCAGGGCTCTTTCAACTCTTCTTTTTGCTCCTAGATCTGTTGGAGGTCCATCCTGGCTGCATGATATTGTGCAGAAATTATGAAAATTTGTTGGGTGGCCTGCGAGGGAAAGANTAGGCCATTCATTTCAAAAAAAAGGGCTTTGCGTCCCCGAGGGCTACAACGTTTAGACTAAAAAGTACAGTTCGAAAAAGAAAAAAGAAGTTTCATCTGGCCCCGGACATCTCCAACACGTCACTGCAAGGAGAATCAATGCAGAAGGGGTGAGCAGCTTCGGGGGCAGGCAGAGCTGAGGCAGAATCAGCAGCAGTGAGGGTTTGAGGAATGTTGGAATTGGGGACAGAAGTGGCTGACTCTGGCAGGGCCTTATCGGATGGGACAAGGATTACCACCTCAAGTGGGTCTGCCAAAACTTGCATCGGCATTAGGGCCGCACCCTCAGCAGCAACCTCGGCCTCGGCCTGCGCCATCTCCGTCGATGGCTCGTAATTGTGCATCTAGAAGAGTGGAGAGTCTGGAAGGACGCCGACGGCTCGAAGCGCCTCATCCCACCCTTTTTTGAAGAACTCTTTGCTGCTCTCCTCGAGAGTGGACAGTATGTCATCGGCAAACTCCTCTCGAATTTGCTCTTCAGTCTTCCTATTCTCCGCTTTCGCCCTAACTTTATCCAGCTCCTAGGTTAGAGCCAGACAACTCTCCTCTGACCCGATAGCCCTATCCTCGGCTGCAAAGAGCCGTTGCGTTTGCTGTGTGATCCTCCTCTCAACGTTGGCCAAGGTAGCACTTAGCTTTTCAGCGCCGACCTTTGCCAATTCGCCTTCCCTAAGGAGTTGCTCAATCTGAGTAGCCTGCCTCGCGAGGGTGGAGTCCCTAGCGACCACATCCTCCTTAGCACTGGCCAGGGCTCTTTCAACTCTTCTTTTTGCTCCTAGATCTGTTGGAGGTCCATCCTGGCTGCATGATATTGTGCAGAAATTATGAAAATTTGTTGGGTGGCCTGCGAGGGAAAGAACTAGGTCAATTTTAGGTGATGCGGCAAGAAAAAGGCTGAAACAAAGATGAACTTACCACCAGGAAATTCTGAATGATGGAACGGAATGTGTTCGTTGTCCGCCCCCTGTGAGCCTCCATGTCGGCCTAGAAATGGAGCGTCTCGCTCACTGCGTTAGCGACATGGGGGTCCTGCAGAATGGAATCGTAGACCTTGATAACCCAGTTCATATGATCAGTAGCCCGAGGGTTCCACTCTACAACTTCCACCGTCTGCGGAGGGGGAGGTGGAGTCTGTCTCTGCTACTGTTGCTGTTGTTGCCGCTGCTACTGTTGCTGTTGTTGTTGCCTTTGTTGCTGTTGAGGTAACCCACGGCCCCTCCGGCTTGGTTGTTGAGCGGAGGGGGCCCTTGATCTCCTGCCTGGGCTGTCGTACCTTTGCTTGGTCCTCCTCGACTTGAAGATCTTGATCGCGCACTTGACCCCAACCAGCGGCCCTCGGAGGTGGGGGGTTGGCGTTGGTCCCTGTTGATGGGGCGCTAATGGTTGACCCCTGTCCTCTCCCAGCGGCAAGGGCCTGCCACTGTTTTAGGAATCCTAGATCTATGCGGGGCGTGCGTGACATGGTTATCTCAAAGGCGTCATCTGCGTTTAGGGACTGAAGGATGTGGAAGTCGGGCCACGAATCTCTCCTAGAAGTCCCCACCTCGGCGTGCGAAGGAACCAAAGCCTCTCTGGCCCCGAACTCCTCAACTTCAAGGGCACCCTCTACTTCCGCCTCAGTAACCCTGTCGAGATCTTCCTCCAAGTTCTGCTCGGCCTCTTGTTGCGCAGTCTGATCGAAGAGTTCAGACCACCGCAAAGGGTCAAAGGGTTGGGGGAGTTGTGAGAACTTTTTGTACCCTGCTGAGTAGTTCAGAAGAATGTGAGTAGCCCGGCCGAACCCGTCGTCGCCAACAAATCTCCAAACAGTGACGAGGTTAGCAAAGTTCACCAAGGGCCGAGGGGGAGGAGCAACTTCCCGGGCGGAGACGTCCACACAAGAAAAAAGGTTATTAACACTTCTAAAAAACCCCAAGGACAAAAACAGTAGACTCGGATAAGCCGACGTACTTGTCGTTCTCCATTCAAAAGGGCACATCAGACCATTGTATTGGAGACTAGTACCCCACTGCCAGGATCCACTGAAGATCAAAAGGTCATCTTTGTATCCTTTGTCCGAGTTAGGGAGGTGAGTTACAAGGTAGATGGATGGATCTCTGGCTTTGAGGTAGAAACCCTACTAAGGCATGGCCCTCAACAGGGAGCAGCAAAAAAGGATATCGTTGAGCCCAACGTTTATCCCGAGACGGTTGTTAAGCTCTAAGACTCCCATTATTATCCTAAAGACGTTAAGGCTACACTGCCCTGGGAAAATGTTGAAATGGGCGAGGAACTGGAGGAGTAGAAGAGACAGGGGGAACCTAATTCCACCCTTTATGATTGCCTTGGTGAAAAATGGCATCTCATCCTCGGCCCCGAGAGTACGGTTATGCAATACTGGGTCGTACTCTTCTATACCTACGTTTGGGGGGATACGGTATCGGGCCTTAAACTTATTGATCTGCTCGTCTCTCTTTACTTTGTACTTCCCTGGCCTCGAGGAACTGACCTGTGGATCTTCGGTGACAGGGCGACGTCGGGGCATCTCCAAAGAAGATAAAAACTGAAGAGAAAGGAAAAAAATTTTCTACGAAGATCCCCAAGGGGTTTCCTGAGGGTTGGTCACATAATGATAACTAGAAATACCTCCGGTTATCGGAGAATAAAAAATAAAAACCCAGAAAGACGGAAAGAAGGAAGATACAAGGACTCACCAGAACGTGAACAAAGGTTTCTGAAGGGCTCGGAGTGGTTCCTCTCTCCAGAAGGTTTAGAAGCAAAAGGGTGTTTGCTGGTCTAAACTCCGGTGACGACTGACTGGTAGACGACGTGATAAAGAGGGTCTCCGACGAAGTTTTCAGGCGAAAGCTCTCTGAGTTCGAAATGACAAAAGTGTGGAAAAGAGAGAGAGAGAGCTCGTTTATATAGTACTCATCCCCATCATTAGGCATGAAGCACGAAGAGGCGCATTTAATGCGCACGACCTCCTAAGCAGCGAGAAACGGCTAAAAGCAATGATGAAATGGTTGGGGTAGTTGCAGAACCCTTTGTCTCCTTACAACGCGTGTCCTCGGCATCAGAAGATCGAAGGCTGGGGGGCAGTTGATGGGACATTTTCAGACACTCCCAAATGATGACACGTGTACTCGGCATCAATGGAGACTTTCGCTGTGATACCGACACGTCTTCGTCAGTTTCCAACCCTCTTGCTCCGAGGATGCTATCATAGGGATCAAGGATCCCCAACCCACTATAGATCGACACGTATTCCTTGGCAGTTTGGGTACATCGGTCCTAAATCATGCTAGTCCCTCGACACCGAGGGGTATCTATTCGCGTGGGCGTTTCTACTCCTGCAAGGGCTATTGAAGGACAAATCACTAGCCATCATGATCTCGTCTTACTCAAATGGTGTCAGGAGGCACAAGAAAGCAGAATGCTCAACCAAAAGGGAATAGACACATGGCGTATTGTGTCAGGTCAGAGACAAAAAGACCAAAATACCCTTACTGACACACGACTTGAGAAAACAAGTATTTAATGCACGTTTCCCTTGATGAGACAACATTTAATGCATAAGGGCTCGGAAGTGAAAGGTAATAAATATCCCAAAGCCTGGGCATTTAATACACCCTCGCCGAGGGAAGATCATTAAACGTTCGGCAGACCGAGGAGAAAACATTAGTTGCTCGGGGTCCTGAGCAGTAAAGAATAAGAACATTACTCATGAAAATTGGTGTGCACACTGCTCACCTCCAATGATTACCAACTAACTACACTGACAGCAATGATGAGTTTTTAAGATATAAATAGTTCTCACAAACAGAAAAGAGGTACGCAACAAACCCTTTCTCAACCATCATACAATGTTTTCTTCTTCCCCTCTCTCAAAGAACTGACTTGATCGTTGGAGGGGATACGTCGGAAAACACTCCGGTGCCCTTCTAACTTGTTTTTCTTTGTTCCAGGAACCTCCTTTAGCCTTCCAGGATCACTCAGGCGACTCATAAAAACGATTCATTATCCACCTTGGGCCACCTTCGACCCTCACAACCTGTTCAAGTAGCAAGATCGACCACCCGTTTGACGGACACGTGTTCACCACGGAAGAGATCTGTTCTAGTGTATATTGTGCAGGATCTTGCACGCACAATTAACACTTGGAACCCAGTCATTCAGAGATCACAATATAAAAATTAGCTTACAACCTCATTTAAGAGCCTCAACATATTCAAAAGTCACATTCTTTGCAAATACATATACAGATTCATTAATACAACTGCATCTAAGGGACTCAATTTATCGTTTCCAGATTTCCAATAGAAGCCATCAGAGTATGTACACAAAACAACATTTTGTTTAATTAGGTTTTTTCACATTTCTCGCTTTCCAATCGATCTATTCACATACACAATGCCCTTGAGAGAGAGGGGGAAGTCAAGAGATTCATGCACACAGGGCCTAAATACATTGAAATCTAAGAAAAACAACAAAAATGACCTAGAAATCGTCTCTTCGTCCTTATTGTTACCGTCCTTTATAACTTCCTCTCTAATTAACTGCAATGTGTTCATAATCCCTTTAACATCCTTGCGGTTGGACACAAATGATCCAAGCCACAGAGTTGGAACAACCACACAAATCCTAAATATCATGTAATGAAGGGGAAAAAAAGTTTTGAGAAACTCACCTGAAGAGATCAGGATCAAACAAAATGAACCAAGACACATTTATGTTTCAAAAAACAAGTGTTTTACAAGAAAAGAGCAGGCATTAGAGTTATGAGTAGAATTATGAAGTAATAAGTAGGCTATTGCATTTTGCAAGAGAGTTGAAGTACAAAACCACGTGAATGTAATCACAATTAAAATTATCGTCCATCTATATTAGTAAAATCCCCTGGAATTGATGATATATGAAACTACCAAAACTATTTGCAAGTACTACACTACAGCATATGAAGCAGTTAATTTTAAATAAAAAGGATTCTGTTGTAGTGGGCAAGATAGTCAAAAAAAATAGAATAGTCTTGCATGATGACATAAGCTCTAATCTACCTCAGTTTACATCCTAATAATGAAACTTAATTACGAGCCACGAATTTTTATTGATGAAAACAATAACTATATATTACACAAATGTAACAGTTAGCTAATTCTGTGCTTTTTTATGTAGCTAACAACTTATCAACAATGTTATTTTTAGAATCGTGTCAATCATTCCAACCAAGATCCTATTCTTTCAAAATCCCTTGCATTTCCAAGTCACACAATAAAGTTCATCAATCTCTGAAGTCCATAAAAGATGGGCAAATCCAAGTCCAACTCTTTAAGTCAATCAAATAAAAAAAAAAATACATCGGCATGACGACCAGTAGCTTCTCAACATTATGTAGCAATGAGCGTATTTTAAATACATTCTATCAGTAACAAGGATTACTCAAAATCAGGAAAAAAGTAAAGTGCTATTAATAATCAACAATGGAGCTAAGTTTACCATTACATGGAATAACATGAGTAACATAATAATGAACAGTTATGATGCCTTCTTGGAAGTTCGAAATGGGCCAAAAGGATTACAAAAAATATAGAGAAAAACTTTTGATGAACTGTTTTTATCCTGATTTATTTTATAAATTTAATCACATCATACCCTCTTATTTTTATTTTTATTTTTTATCACAAAACCTTTGCAATAAGCAATGAAAAATAGGATGTCATCAAGTAAACATTACTCTCTGGGAAGTTGTCAGTCTCGTCCCTAATCCAATAATTATTTATTTGATGTATAGAGATTTTAACTAATGATTTAGGTTTATACCTCAAAACTACCATAACTTATTTAACTTTTGCACCAAATTGAATATGTCTATTAGACTCCATGAATTCGAACTATTTAGGGAATCACAAAGTTAATTTCAAGAATCAAATCACAATTTTAACTATTTACTTAAGTTTTAGACCCTACAGATACAATAACTTTTTTAACTTTAAAACCCGAGTAAATATACCAGTTAGACTTTTTCTAACTAAAACTAAACTGTTTCAAGAATCACACCTCAATCAAAAACATAAAATTTTTGTGTACTATGTATCCATGAGCCTAAGAGAGAATGAGAAAATGAGCAGATTCTTCATTCTTCAAATTCCAATTGCCAATGGACATGTTCATTGCAGCTTCAAACATTAATATCCCTCTCCCCTTTTCAACCCCTTTACAACATTCATTATGAGTTCAGAAATTAAGCTGGACTAACATTGCTTCATATCCATATTCATTCCTGCTACTTCTTCATTTTCTTATGTTAATCAAGATGGATTAATATTTTATATGTTAATATCTTTTGACAGCAGATTTCTCATGCTAAAGTTCTCTTCAACAGCAAAATCTAAACATATCTGAGTAGTCTTCGTATCGCAAAATTAACATCTTATTCCATGCTAAGCCATAGTGCTTAGCATCACTTCATGCCTAAAGTAATTCCTTAATTCCTCCTCCCCTGTTTTTTTTTTTGCTGCTTTGTCTGTGGCCATAATAATAGCAGCTGTGTACTCGATGCCATGTTTGAGATATGTACTCTGGAGTCTTGACCATTAGAGGAGCCATGGTGAGTGATTGAGCATTTGTTAGGTACCATCTTAGGTGTCTATCAGCCATTAAAGTTCTTATATACGTGTATCTGCCAGAAATTTATTGACATTACTGGTTTTCCAATCTGTTTATGTGAGTTTTTTGTGGGTGTTTTACATGAACTTAGCAATGCTATTTGTTTATAATAAGAATTTTTTCACTAATCTCATTTTCTGTGTGATTATCAGGACAAAGTAATATCCCCAAAAGAATACATGCACGAAAAATGTAGTAGAACTATTAAAAGTTGAAAATGCTAGCTTGTGTGTGTGTAGATGTGGGATCAGAAGAACCCATTCCTTTGAATTGATCATACCAATAGCTAACCAAACAAAAGTGACATATCTTATGTTAATCAAAAAAAGGCTCATACTTTGGAATGCTCACCTCTTGTTGTTAATCAAAAAGAGTATAAAAGCTTTCAAACCTGCAACTATAGAAGCCGTTGAAGTAGGTCATCGTTGATAGAAGTTTAAGCTATAAACAAACAAATGGAATCAGAATGATACAGATGATAAATGTCCAATTTTATTTTTACTTCCTCTTTCTTTTTCTGCCCATAACATATATAAGGCTTGCAAGGTGTTTGTACCTGCTATGCATCTTCCCCCCGAATTCGTGGAGCCTAACAAGAAGAGAATTTGCATAAAATGAAATGACTCTGGCTATCATCAAAATAAATGGATCTCCTATCCAACAAAGAGGAACTATAACAATACCAGCTGGTTAGAACAAAGCCCACTTGAACTCTTGAATCTACCATTTTCAAAACAGGTAAAAGAAACTCAGATTAAACCAATTAAGTATCACTCTATTGTAAATCCCAATGGACTATAGGAATTACCAATCTTTTACAATGAATTGATATGAGATATGCTGGTGATATGAATGCATTTGCCTTGTTCTGACCACACCTTCCTTCCAATAAATCCTCTTTGCAGTGTCATTCAAAAAGTCATAATGGCGGACATACCATCTACTCCACCGATGTAGAATCTGTAAAACTTCCCAAGAAAAATAGTTGGATGAATCATTGGCTGATCTTCTACAAATAAAGCCTAATGTGTGACATGCCTGAAAAAAATTTTGGTAGACAATTTTCACCCCCTACTGATCTTAGATTCAATTTTCATTGAAGTGAAGCGCAGCATACAAAGTAATGGAAAGAATATAAACATTATCAAACCACTTCACATTCAATATATTGTTACATTAATCATTATTTAAAGTGAGATGTCACTCAAACAAGAAGGCATAAAATTCAAAAAGAATACAAACCTATCCAAAATAATCCATGTTAGAATTGTTTCAAACTGGCAAATTACCACATATAATCAAAATAACATGAGGAGAAGCCCATTTAGATAGTGACATTCCTTCAATGACAGGAAGAGATATGAGAGCTTCAAATTTCTGGACTCTTGCCCTTCATCTTCCTAGACCTTCATTCACCAACCCGAGGGTACTTGTCATGGAATGATTATAACATTTATTAAAGGAAGAAGGAAAATGAAAACTTTGAAACGAAGTAAGCACTTGGATCTATCTTCTTTGGTAATATTAAATATTCTAATTTTTTCCCAAAGTAATGAACTCCTATTAGAAGGAAAACCAAACTAGTTTAGACAGCAGGCACCACATAAACGCACTAAACAGAGGTTTAACGAGCCTTTAATCAAAAATGGATACTACAAAACATGAGCTAGAAGGAAAGCCAAAGATTGAAATAATTAACTGAACGCATGAGCTGGGTTAAAAAAAAAAAAAGAAGAGGAAGGTAAAGCAGAGAGTTACCAGCTGATGCTTCCAGGTTTGAAAAATAGTACCTCACTAAACTAAGGAGTCCAACCTGCATCTTCCCTTGACATCCACCGAGGATCGTGAGTTAAATTAAATGTCCAAGTGAAAAAGAAATGCATGATCGATTATACTACAATATAAGACTATGAGATGCAATTTTGATCCAGAATATGTCGAAATGCAAGAAATATGTGTCCATAAGAAGAAAATCGTATAATGATCGAAGAATCATCTTTCAAATGCAATTAAACTTGTGCCAATGATGATCTGATATCTGGTATAACACTGTTGTCACATAGATTCTTTAGGACAAATGAAGATGAAGTTTGCTGGGAAAAAACTAATGAATTAAACATGGGATAGACGAATATAATGGTTAAAGGGAGACAGAGAGAGATGGAGAAGGTGAAGGGAGGCTAATGGCTTTTTGTTCTTCACCAGTAGTGAATACGCAGGAAAGTGAGGGGGAAGATGAAGAGAGAGATCGTGTGGCTGGTTGGTCTTCACCAAAGAGGGAGAAAATAAATAATCAATCGATGACAGCAGATTTTTGGGAGTGCGATAGTTTAGGTTTACTCTGGTTTTAATGTTGAGGATAAGGAGGACCTGGTTGTGATTTTGAAGTATACTATTTTTTACATATGCTGACATTTTAAAGTAGTATAGATATAGATTTGTGATTTGTATAAATGAATTTGCGAATTTATAAAAATAAATTCGTGAATTGATTGTGATTCACTCTCAAAGTGTGAATTAACGCACGAAGTTTGAGAGCGTGGAATTTTGTGGAAGCGAATCGTGTGACTCAAGTCATGGTTTTAATGAAGTGTTTTCTGCAAGATAATGTTTTCAAGTAAGAATTGAATAAATGTGTGAATAAAATAAAATAAATTTGAGATGGGATAGTAATATAATTGACTATTTTAATGTATAGTTACAAGCAAAATTTAGTATTGGAATAGGGGCGAACATTTCATTCCAACATTGGATAAATTAATTTTTTCCTATGATGAAACCAACTTTTGTTTGACTTTGATTAACCTATGTGTTAAGTGTGTAAAATCAATTTCAACCAATTCTGACATTTGTGTAGATTAAGAATTTAATAATGTTGTACATGGATTTGTAAATGCATTGTCCAAGTGAATTCAAGACCAGTTAGTTAGTGAGTAACTTATTTTGATTTTACTTGGGCGCTCCTCCTATTCATTACATCTTTTTTACTCATTTACATGGTCTAAATGAACAAAATTGTGGATTCCGTACATTACAATTTGCTCTCTTGACAATTGCAATTTTG